TTTATTTTATTTTATTATGATTGGCAAATAATTTGGAAGGTATGCGGAGGCACCTGATGTTATTAAATATAAAGCTCCACTCCACATTTTTTTATTCTAAATGTTTGCAAAAATCAATTTATTTAACAATGTAAAAAAAAAAAATCTTTGCAGGACAAGGATTGTGTTGACTTTTAAGAATGCCTGAATGACTTCACATTGCAATTTTGAAGTTTCACCATTATTGTTTTTAAATCATCTAGGCCTGCGTGCGTGCAAGTTACTGTGCAGCATGGCGATAAGTAGGCACATGAGAATTATTAGAATATGGCAAATATTAGTACACTCTTGCATTCTATCCATGCTGGCTTTTCCAGGCTACCGGAGACATGATGGGTGAGCAGGGCATACAGGCTACTTTATTAATGCGCAATTTGCCTAATAGGATAATGGAAACACCTCAACTACAATTTTTATTCGATATTCTAGATTTAAAAAAAAAAAAAAAAAAAAAATGAAGGTGTGACGTCATTACGGCCATCTGTTTTTACCAACACAAGACAGTTCGTTGGAAACACGTCGTGGCAACTCTTGTCTAATTTCTATGCAAACTTTCTAAATGTTGACAACAACAACAAAAATCACTGGACAAGTTAATGGAAACATTGCCCCTTTTTATGTACCTGTCTTGCTACATCCATTTTTGGGGCATTGAAATTATTGATATAAAGACTAGCCATTTGATTCTTAATAGTATAACTTTATAAATGCATCATGAGCTTAGTTCAATTGTCGTACCCCATCAGAACCCCAAAAATATGAGCTTGTTTTTTTTTTCTCCATTGTTTGTAAATAAACAAACTAGCACCACTCCCCTTCCTTCTCTCCCAAGGCCAGCCAGAGCCGGTGAAAGGGGCGTGGTTCCATGTGAGTGACAGCAGTGTGCAGCCAGTCACAGAGAGCAAAGTGCAGAGCTCCCAAGCCTACCTCCTATTCTACGAGAGGATCTCCTAGACCTGCCTACCTCCACAAATTCCTACCCAATTACCTACACAGGTTGTGTCTACACAAGCAGCCCTGTTCTGATCTTTTGACAAGAATTGGGTCTTTTGACCAATCAGATCTTATTCCAATACTTGGGCAAAAGATCAGAATTGGCTGGCTGTTTTTAAACGCAGCCATAGTGCACTACTTTTGGCCAGAGCCTTATTATACAGCCTTGTGAGGCTCTTCTGGCCAAACTTTAGTGCACTATAAATGCCCATATTCCCTACATAGTGCACTACTTTTTGGCCTGAGACATAGTGCTGGTATTGTGGGACAACCATGTAGCCAGGTGAAGTGCAGAGTGGAATACGAGTGGAGTATTTGTTTTTATAATCAGTAGAAAGGTTGCTGTGTCCCTAATGGCACCCTATTCCCTACGTGGTGCACTACTTTTGACCAGAACCCATAGTGCCCCTGGTCATAAGTAGTGCACCACATAGCCAATGTGGTGCCACGCAACCAAAGATTATTTGTTAATATCATGATAATTATGCCACAACTGGGGATGTCCCAAAATGAAAATGTTTTGCCTGAAGTGTTAATGAATTGTATCAGCAAGGACATAGAAAGGAAAAATAAACAAAAAGCATTTTTACTGTACATATCTGACTATATATACAGAGGGGCTGCGTCCCAAAGTGCACCGTATATATAGAGCACTACTTTTGATCAGAGACCTAAATAGGAAATAGGGTGCCATTCGGAACGCTGCCATTCTATGCTCTTGGACATTTTAAAACAACAGAGGAGTTTGTTGATTGATCTGTCTGATTGCTTGGTGTGTTTACACAGTATAAAGCAAAAATAAACCTGCCAATACCTTCTTTTTTTTTTATGCTGCAATATGTAACTGTTTGGGTGACTTGACCAAATTCACATAGAAATGCAGTCATAGATCTGTCATTCTTATTAAAGCAAGTCTAAGAAGTGGTAGATCTGTTCTATGTGTGCTATTTCTATGCTTCCCGGTCTTAACTTTCGTTACTTTTGCGTCTTCTAGTTTTGTACACCAGCTTCAAACAGCTGAAAATACAATATTTTTTATTATGGAAAATATACACTGCTCAAAAAAATAAAGGGAACACTTAAACAACACAATGTAACTCCCAAGTCAATCACACTTCTGTGAAATCAAACTGTCCACTTAGGAAGCAACACTGATTGACAATACATTTCACATGCTGTTGTGCAAATGGAATAGACAACAGGTGGAAATTATAGGCAATTAGCAAGACACCCCCAATAAAGAAGTGGTTCTGCAGGTGGTGACCACAGACCACTTCTCAGTTCCTATGCTTCCTGGCTGATGTTTTGGACACTTTTGAATGCTGGCGGTGCTTTCACTCTAGTGGTAGCATGAGACGGAGTCTACAACCCACACAAGTGGCTCAGGTAGTGCAGCTCATCCAGGATGGCACATCAATGCGAGCTGTGGCAAGAAGGTTTGCTGTGTCTGTCAGCGTAGTGTCCAGAGCATGGAGGCGCTACCAGGAGACAGGCCAGCACATCAGGAGACGTGGAGGAGGCCGTAGGAGGGCAACAACCCAGCAGCAGGACTGCTCCATGTGCTTGCCAGAGGTAGCCTGACTGCCATTAGGTACCGAGATGAGATCCTCAGACCCCTTGTGAGACCATATGCTGGTGCGGTTGGCCCTGGGTTCCTCCTAATGCAAGACAATGCTAGACCTCATGTGGCTGGAGTGTGTCAGCAGTTCCTGCAAGAGGAAGGCATTGATGCTATGGACTGGCCCGCCCGTTCCCCAGACCTGAATCCAATTGAGCACATCTGGGACATCATGTCTCGCTCCATCCAACAACGCCACGTTGCACCACAGACTGTCCAGGAGTTGGCGGATGCTTTAGTCCAGGTCTGGGAGGAGATCCCTCAGGAGACCATCCGCCACCTCATCAGGAGCATGCCCAGGCGTTGTAGGGAGGTCATACAGGCACGTGGAGGCCACACACACTACTGAGCCTCATTTTGACTTGTTTTAAGGACATTACATCAAAGTTGGATCAGCCTGTAGTGTGGTTTTCCACTTTAATTTTGAGGGTGACTCCAAATCCAGACCTCCATGGGTTGATACATTTGATACAATTTTTGTGTGATTTTGTTGTCAGCACATTCAACTATGTAAAGAAAAAAGTATTTAATAAGATTATTTCATTCATTCAGATCTAAGATGTGTTATTTTAGTGTTCCCTTTATTTTTTGGAGCAGTGTATTTCACAGCGGTTTAGATGGTACAATGATTCTCTACACGATGCTTGCTTATTTTGTCACATAAACTGAAATTAGGCTAATTATTATAATTTTAGCTACCAGGAAATGGCAGAGATTTCTGCAATGTGCTCCTATAAATGGTTTAAAATGATCAGTGGAAAACAAGTCATTTGTATAGACATTTGTATTTCAGTAATTTTTATATTGTGTTGTTAAGATGCAAATTAAAAGCTTGAAATACAGGAAAAATTCAATGCATTTTGCTACGTGATGCAATTATGGCTGGGCTAGCCCGAACAGCCACTAGTGGGCACTGTTTAACTGTCTTTGACATGTGCAGTCAAATCAGAGAGGAAGAGGCAAAGCAAGAGGTTTTACTCCGCCCAAAATGTTTTCTACGAAAATAAGCCCACGAAGTGGGGAATTTTTGTATGGAAGTCAATGAGTGTCGAATTTGGTAAACAAAAAAAAATGTAATTGCTAATTAGTTACGTGAGGCTTATTTAATCGAATATAAGTTTATTAATGTTTAGGTTGGTACCAATGCACTGATATAAGTAGACGCACATGGCATTTCGGCAACTTTGAAAAAATCGACTTAATATCTGAGTTGTACCTGTTGTCATAGAGAGAGCCTCAATTGCACTGCCCGTGCTGTCACAGACGCTATAATGGCACAGATACAAGCATTTCGATACACCCGCTATAACATCTGCTAAACACGTGTATGTGACAAATACAATTTGATTTGATTTGATACAAAGATGAGTCCTATATCTCTATGGCCTGGTTTTCACGCGTATCTGCCCTCTCATTGGCTAGAATGGTCCCACCTGATCACGCCTGCCTTCCATCTTTGAGGACGTATTTGCATTTGTTAGAGCGGTCACTTGACTATCTTGTCAATATAATAGACAATCTTTGGTCAAATACAGTAAAGCCAAATACTTCCTGATGCATAAGTTTATTGTCACATGACATTTTGTTTCACCAGTGGAATGTACACCAACCGAACGCCGAATTTTTACCGTTAAATGGAACTGTCATCTCGGTGACATGACAGGTAAGGGAAACAATGTTTCTATTGTAGACAGTGAGGTAGGAATGGAATGATACATTGTAACTGCTTGCTGCGTGCAAACTGTCCAGCGCTAGAAGAAAGTTCTATGTCATGATCGGGCGTTATTCCTGCAGGGACAACGTGAAAGTAGTGTGTGAATATACGTTTATATATAAACAAAAAATAAGTTATTTTATCTGTTGATCTGCTTTCTGTAGAGAGGGTATGGATCTCCATAGTCTAACTAGATGTTTGCAATCTGATCTTGATTTGATACAGTTCTGCTATTATAGCTAGAAGTTACCTCAGCATAGGTCTAATTCATGTGTTTTGTTCTAGTCATATTCAGGAATGAGGATAATTAAAACTAAGAAACGAAAGTCGGCAATACTGTATCCAAAAATATTTTAAAAGAAGTCTAGAACGAACAAAAAACAGATGCTTCTCCTTCACTTGCCTAAGCATGAGTCAGCATTTCCTGCTATTGCTCAACCCCCAGGAACACAAACACACAACTGACACAAAGGCTTTTCATTTGACATTGATTCGACCAATCGTATAGAATAGATTAATAATAGGCTATTATTAGAGAGATATTAATCATTTACAGTCACAGGTCCCAACAGTTATTATTGTCTATTTATCTTGTTTATGCCTGTCTGATATTTGTCTCAGGAGCTTGTCACCACCATGTATCTCCCGGGCCACCATACCTCCGTGTTCACGTTCCAGTCTGCGGTTCACAGCTCCCACGTCCTGAAGCGTCTCAACGACCAGAGACTGGGGGATGTGTTGTGTGATGTTACACTGGTGGCAGGCAGCAGGATGTTCAGGGCCCACTGCTCTGTACTGGCCTCCTGTAGTGACTACTTCTACAGCAGGATAATCAACCACACCAGCCCCAGCTTGGTGCTCACTCTGCCTGACCAGGTCAGGATCATACACTATACTGTGGTGGAGTCTCAAATGGTACCTTATAACAAGTGCCTTCGGAAAGTATTCAGACCCCCTTGACTTTTTCCACATTTTGTTTACGTTACAGCCTTATTCTAAAATTGATTAAATCGTTTTTTTTAGCCTCATCAATCTACCGACTATACCCCATAATGACAAAGCAAAAATAAGTGTTTTGAATTTTTTGCGAAAATAAAAAAATTGTAATATTCAGACCCTTTACTCAGTACTTTGTTGAAGCACCTTTGGCAGCGATTACAGCCTTGAGTCCTCTTGGTATGACACTACAAGCTTGGCACACCTGTATTTGGGGAGTTTCTCCCATTCTTCTCTGCAGATCCTCTCAAGCTCTGTCAGGTTGGATGGGGAGCATTGATGCACAGCTATTTTCAGGTCTCTCCAGAGATGTTCGATCGGGTTCAAGCTTGGCTTTGGCTGGGCCACTCAAGGACATTCAGAGACTTGTCCCGAAGCCACTCCTGCGTAGTCTTGGCTGTGTGCTTACGGTTGTTGTCCTGTTAGAAGGTGAACCTTCGCCCCAGTCTGAGGTCCTGAGCGCTCTGGAGCAGGTTTTCATCAAGGATCTCTCTGTACTTTGCTCCGTTCATCTTTCCCTCGATCCTGACTAGTCTCCTAGTCCCTGCCGCTGAAAAACATCCCCACAGCATGATGCTGCTACCACCATGCTTCACCATTGGGATGGTGCCAGGTTTCCTCCAGACGTGACGCTTGGCATTCAGGCCAAAGAGTTAAATCTTGGTTTCATCAGACCAGAGAATCTTGTTTCTCATGGTCTGAGAGTCCTTTAGGTGCCTTTTGGAAAACTCCAAGTGGGCTGTCGTGCCTTTTACTGAGGAGTGGCTTCTGTCTGGCCACTCTACCATAAAGGCCTGATTGGTGGAGTGCTGCAGAGATGGTTGTCCTTCTGGAAGGTTCTCCCATCTCCACAGAGGAATTCTAGAGCTCTGTCAGAGTGACCATTGGGTTCTTGGTAACCTTCCTGACCAAGGCCCTTCTCCCCTGATTGCTTAGTTTAACCGGGCGGCCAGCTCTAGGAAGAGTCTTGGTGGTTCCAAACTTCTTCCATTTAAGAATGATGGAGGCCACTGTGTTCTTGGGGACCTTCAGTGCTGCAGAAAGTTTTTGGTACCCTTCCTCAAATCTGTGCCTCGACACAATCCTGTCTCGGAGCTCTACAGACATCTATCGACCTCATAGCTTGGTTTTTGCTCTGACATGCACTGTCAACTGTGGGAGCTTATATAGACAGGTGTGTGCCTTTCCAAATCATGTCCAATCAATTGAATTTACCACAGGTGGCCTCCAATCAAGTTGTAGAAACATCTTAATCATGATCAATGGAAACACGATGCACCCAAGCTCAATTTCGAGTCTCATAGCAAAGGGTCTGAGTACTTATGTAAACAAGGTATTTCTGTTTATTTATTTTTTGCAAAGAAATTCTAAAAACCTGTTTTCGCTTTAGCGATAATTTGAAACTTGTCTGCCGAGTTGGGCCTTTGGAGAGTGTTCAGAGTCATTCAGGTTGAGCTGCAGTGCTCAGCAAGCTGGAGCGAAGGACACACTGTGCCCAGTGTTGTGTTGCCGGCTTGCAGCTCAAACTCTCCCCATTGAGCAATAGAGTGTATCACGGTGACATCCTGATGGTTACTACCAATACTCCAAGTTATTTCTGGTGCTACTGTAAATATAATTAAGTGGGATGGAACAAATTGGCCACGTACAGTGGGCTCCAGAAGTACCGGGACAGATTCAGCTTCATACTCCAGCACTTTGGATTTGAATTGATATAATGACTGAGGTAAAAGTGCAGACTCTCAGCTTTAATTTGAGGGTATTTTCATCCATATCAGGTGAAGCGTTTACAAATTACAGCACTTTTTGTACATAGTCCCCCCCATTTTTAGGGGACCAAAATTATTGGGACAAATTCACTTGTGTGTATTTTAAAGTAGTCGAAAGTTTAGCATTGGGTCCCATATTTCTAGCACACAATGATTACATCAAGCTTGTGACTACAAACTTGTTTGGTTGCATTTGCTTTTTGTTTTGGTTGTGTTTCAGAATTTTGTGCCAAATAGAAATGAATGGTAAATAATGTATTGTTATTTTGGAGTCACTTTAATTCTAAATAAGAATAGAATGTTTCTAAACTCTTCTACATTAATGTGGATGTTACCACGGTTACAGATAGTCCATAATGAATCGTGACTAATGATTAGGGAGAAAGTTACAGACACAAATATCATACCCGTCAAGACATGCTAACCTCTCACCATTACAATAACAGGGGAGGTTAGCATTTTTTTTGGGGGGGGGGGGGGTATGATATTTATGCCTCTTGATTGGTGCGTCTTTCTGTGGGCACGCATCTCGGGAAAATAAATTATATTTTATTTGGACAGGCAAGAAAGTACGGTAGGGTGGGCCAGGCCCCCCTGATGCCGGCCCCGTAGGGCTCTACTCAGAAGCATGTATTCCCCTCTCCAGGTAACAGCAGAGGGTTTTGAACCGTTGCTCCAGTTCTCCTACACCGCCAAGCTGCTCTTTACCAAAGACAACATCCTGGCCATCCACAGGTGTGCCAGGCTCCTGGGGTTCCACAACCTGGAGACTAGCTGCTTCGACTTCCTTCTGCCAAAGTTCCTGGAGGGTAGCAGCAGGACCACAGCCCAGGAGGGAGGAAGAGGAGGCTGCTGTCAGGGCAGGTCCCAGATCAGCTCCTCCAACCAAGGCAAATCACCTAGTGGCAGGTCCCCCAACCAGGGCAGGTCCCAGATCAGGTCCTCCAACCAGGCCCAGGGCAGGACCCAGATCAGGTCCCCCAACCAAGGCAAATCACCTAGTGGCAGGTCCCCCAACCAGGGCAGGTCCCAGATGAGGTCCCCCAACCAGAGGAGGTCCCCTAGTGGTGGCTCAGCCCACAGTAGAAACAGAAAGCGAGACGGAGACGGCCAGTCCCCCAGTGTCGATTCAGCCCACTGTACAGGCTGTCAGTCCCAGAGCAGGACCCCCAACCAAGGCATGTCACCCAGCCAGGCCAGGTTGCCTAGTGGCAGGACCCCCAGTCAGGGCAGGTTGCCTAGTGTCAGTTTAGCCCACAATACAGACAGACACACAGACAGAGACCGAGAGCAGCAGGTTGGACCTCGACAGCAGAACACAGGCCCAGGCCAGACAACAGGAAGTGATGTCAGGAACATAGGAGGTGACATCAGGCCTCAGTGTTCAGCTGCCAACCCCAGTGGAACAATATCACCACCGTCACACCAGAGCTTAACAGTGCCTTCAGACGGAAACGTACAAATAGACTTCCAGTCGTCATCCCAATGTCCAAATACCCTGGCCTTGCTAGTCAACCCGGTCAGTGGTGGTCGGGAGCAGTTCTGCATGTCACCCTTATCCCTCGGGGGACTGACGTCCTCCAGCGGTCTTGGTGTCCGTCCCATCCTGGCCTTGCCGTGTCCTGGTGGCGTTGACGGTAAACCAGACCCTGACGCCGTGTTCGGTAATGGAGACATCCTAGGGATGGAGGCAGCGGCGTGTCCGATGGCGATGGGTCAGGGTGAGGGGTGTCCGAGAGGGTGCCCGCTCTCCTGCGAGCTGCCGTCCCCTGACGACGTGAGCCCATCAGACCTTATGGAGGCAGCGGACGGAGAGATGGATGGTGACCAGTCTGTCGTCGGGAGTCTGATGGCTGAAGAAGCTGGGTGTAGCCCAGGTTCCTGTGGCACGTGCCCACTGAGAGGCTCGGTGGAGGTAGAGGAGGCCGAGCAACAGCAACCTGCGTTGGATCTCCTGGCAAGACGCAAAAGCCCCAGCTCAGAAAAGAGTGGCGAGGAGAGCCATGGTGGATGCCCTATGCTCCCAAGGTCACCAGGATTAGGTCAAGTAGGTCAGCTACCTGTGTTAGAGCGGAGAGAAGACCCTGGTTTGGATGGGGGCGTGGCTGTTGGGGGTCATCTCTCTGACTCCGCCCTCACTGATCCCACCCTCTGTGGTCTTACCGCTGATGATGCGGGGTACGGACTCGGAGAGCGGAGCAGCGTGGAGAGGGAGGTGGCTGAACATCTGGCCAAGGGTTTCTGGCCTGACTTGTGCCCTTCACAGACTGAACCTCTCCCTAGTCTCCCTAATCTGGACATCATGGAGCACGGAGGTCTGGGGAGAGTTCCTAATCTGGACACCATGGAGCACGGAGGTCTGGGGAGAGTTCCTAATCTGGACACCATGGACCACAGTGGTCTTGGGACGGCTGCAGACTTCCACTGGCAGCTAGACCTGAACTCAAATCCAGGGGACTGTCCCTTCCTTAGAGACCTGGGGACAGGAGAGGCAGGGGGGATAGAAGAGGTGGGGGAGGTAGGAGAGACAGGTGGGGTGGGGGAGACCGGAGAGGTAGGAGAGACAGGTGGGGTGGGGGAGACCGGGGAGGTAGGAGAGACAGGGGAGGCCCAGACACCCGGTGGGAACGACAGCCTGTCCCAGTCAGAGAAAAGTCCCTACATGTCATCTGTTAACTCAGGAGAGGACTCAGACGGAGACCTGGACACGGACGGAGACACGGAGAGAGAGGCCAACAACAGGAGAGCACAAGAGGTCAGAGTTCTTACTGGAAGGTCACAGTGTATGTGTATGAAGGTGTGTTGAGTCCCAAATAGCGCCCTATAAAGTGTACTACTTTTGACCAGAGGCCATCTCTGTCTGTTCATCCATCCCTGTGTGCGCTTCCAGGTTTGTCTGCCCTTCCCGGTGGTTCAGATCTCGTCAGTGAGTCGTAGTGCCTTCCAGCAGCTCCTCAGGTGCCAGCAGCTGACTCCGGAACAGCTGGAGTTTGTCCACGACGTCCGACGGCGCAGCAAGAACCGCGTGGCCGCACAGCGCTGTCGCAAGAGGAAGCTAGAAGGCATCCATAAACTACAGACTGAGATCGGGACACTGGTACGTCTGTGTTTGCCATCATCTCTCTTGCAGAGTTGGGTCTATTCCATTTAAATTCCAGTCCATACAGAAAGTAAACCAAATTCCAATTCCACATTTTCCTAATTGAAAAGAATTGGAATTTCAGTGTACTTCCTATATTGAATGGAAATTAAATTAAATTGAATAATCTCCTAATATGGCATTATAGTCTGATTTTATAATCTGGTAGTTTGATTTAATTGTAAACATTTCAACAATACATGTTATAAGTAGCGAATTATTCAACTAAGCAACGCATAAATAATTGATCTCTTATGTAACTAATTACACAATGACATTCATAGCTGAGCTGTGTTTTATTGGTCCAGTGGGTTGTAATGTAACATCCTGTTCTGCCCCACAGAGAGGAGAGAAGAACAGGTTGCTGGAGGAGCGTGGCCAGCTGCAGAGGAACGTGGAGGAGACGTTACAGAGTCTGACAGGGCTGTGTCAGAGCGTCTGCAACGAGGCAGGGGTCTGTCGTGAGCAGGACCAGCTACAGCTCCTAGCCAAGCTCCAGTCTCCTGACGTCCCTATCTCAGCACTCCTCAACACTCTGGCCTCCCCCTCTCCTCCCCCGGCCTCCCCCTGGGACTGGAGCCGGAGAGCTTAGAACCCCAACCACTGCCTATACCACAACCCCAGCCCCAATCACAGCCCCACCACTGCCTTAACCTGCCCTAGAGAACTGCCCCATCCTCAACCTGCCCTAGAGAACTGCCCCAAGGCTGCCCTATCCCCAACCTCAACCTGCCCTAGAGAACTGCCCCAAGGTTGCCCCATCCTGCCCTAGAGAACTGCCTCATCCTCAACCTCCATAGAGAACTGCCCCATCCTGTCCTAGAGAACTGCCCCATCCTGTCCTAGAGAACTGCCCCATCCTGTCCTAGAGAACTGCCTCATCCTGTCCTAGAGAACCGCCTCATCCTCAACCTCCATAGAGAACGGCCTCATCCTGTCCTAGAGAACTGCCTCATCCTGCCTCATCCTGTCCTAGAGAACTGCCTCATCCTGCCTCATCCTGTCCTAGAGAACTGCCCCATCCTGTCCTAGAGAACTGCCCCATCCTGTCCTAGAGAACTGCCCCATCCTGTCCTAGAGAACTGCCCCATCCTGTCCTAGAGAACTGCCTCATCCTGTCCTAGAGAACTGCCCCATCCTGCCTCATCCTGTCCTAGAGAACTGCCCCATCCTGTCCTAGATACCTGCCTTATCCTGCCCCATCCTGTCCTAGAGAACTGCCCCATCCTGTCCTAGAGAACTGCCCCATCCTGTCCTAGAGAACTGCCCCATCCTGTCCTAGAGAACTGCCTTATCCTGCCCCATCCTGTCCTAGAGAACTGTCTGGAGCCAAATAGCAACATATAAATCCAGAGCCATATACTGTATAGACCATAGATAATCTACAGTACTATGAAAAAGTATTTGCCCCCTTTCTAATTTTCTCTACTTTTGCATATTTGTGATACTGAATGTTATCAGATCTTCAACCAAAACCTAATATTAGATAAAGGGAACATAAGTGAACAAATAACACAACAATTACATATTTATTTCATAAACAAAGTTATGCAACACCCAATTCCCCTTTGTGAAAAAGTAATTGCCCCCTTACACTCAATAACTGGTTGTGCCAACTTTAGCTGCAATGACTCCAACCAAATGCTTCCTGTAGTTGTTGATCAGTCTCTCACGTCGCTGTGGAGGAATGTTGGCCCACTCTTCCATGCAGAACTTCTTTAACTCAGTGACGTGTGGGTTTTCAAGCATGAACTGCTCGTTTCAAGTCCTGCCACAACATCTCAATTGGGATTAGGTCTGGACTTTGACTAGGCCATTCCAAAACTTCCAATTTGTTGCTTTTTAGCAATTTTCATGTAGACTTGATTGTGTGTTTTGGATCATTGTCTTGCTGCATGACCCAGCTGCGCTTCAGCTTCAGCTCACAGACGGATGGTCTGACATTCTCCTGTAGAATTCTCTGATACAGAGCAGAATTCATGGTTCCTTCTTTTAAGGCAAGTCGTCCAGGTCCTGAGGCAGCAAAGCATCCCCAAACCATCACAACACCACCACCACCACCATGCTTGACCTTTGGTATGATGTTCTTACTGTGGAATGCAGTGTTTGGTTTTCGCCAGGCATTACTGGAACCATGTCGTTGGGTGTTGCATAACTTTGTTTATGAAATAATTATGTAATTGTTGTGTTATTTGTTCACTTATGTTCCCTTTATCTAAAATTAGGTTTTGGTTGAAGATCTGATAACATTCAGTATCACTAATATGCAAAAGTAGAGAAAATTAGAAAGGGGGCAAATACTTTTTCATAGCACTGTATATCTGTTTTTGGATATAACTCTATACTGTATAGACCATAGATAATCTAGATATTTTATTGGATATAACTATACTGTATGGCTCAGATGAACTCTCACTGTTATTCATTGTATCAGGATTCATCCCAAATAGCACCCTATTCAGTGCACTACTTTTGACCAGGACCCATAAGGCTCTGGTCAAAAGTAGTGCACTATGTAGGGAATGGGGTGCCATTTGGGACACCACCTCAGTCTGAAGAATTGTAGTGTAACAAAATGCCATGTTTTTTTTGGACACTTTGAAGGACTTAGTATATTAACCTTTTAGGCTTTAGCTCAGTGGGATAACAACACAGTATCGTGACAGCAGGACACCTGGATTCTAACCCTGGTCGGCGACAGTCACAAACACTTTGAAGGATTTACTGTAAAGTTTTCAGGGTACATTTACCTTTTTCATTATATTTATTGTAACATTATGCAAACCTGTTGGAATGTAGGATCTGCAAGTGGACCTCTTTCGGACTACATTTCCATGTGCTTTTTAGCAGCCTTAATTGTGTAGCATAATAGCCATGCAATTTAAATACAGTATTTGTCACTAGTATAATAGCCGTGCAATTTAAATATAGTATTTGTCACTAAACTCAAGAGATTCTCTGAAGGTGCACAATACCAAGCACGAAGCCAAGAGACTTTGACCATCATCTCTCCTGCAAGAATTAGGTAATTGAATGAATGTATCTCAGGAAAACACTTAGCCTATCCATCTGTGTTCATCCATTCGTTCATTCGTCCATCCATCAGTTGTTTTATTTGCTGAATGAGGTAACGAAGATCATGATAGTTTTTCATTTTTATCATTTTAACAAGTTTTTTTTTTTTTTTTTGAGCATTAATTAATTGAGACGTATGAAGAAAAAAAAATGTATGCACTCACTAACTATAAATCGCTCTGGATAAGAGCGTCTGCTAAATGACGTAAATGTAAAATGTATGATATCGATGACATGACATTCTGTCTTGTCATATACGTATAACGGTTACATTGTTTCTGGTATTACTACACACAGTATTGTAGGGTAGCAGGGATCTATGCATACGTCCCAAATTGACCCCTGTTGCCTAATGTGTTGGGCCCAAAGTGCTCTGGTCAAAAGTGGTACGCTGTAGACAATAGGGTGCCATTGGGGTTCTTCAACAGTATGTTCCTTACTGATCTATTGCGAACACTTGCACATTCTTCACCTTGAGTGTATCTATCCTGATTGTATGCTTACAATTGTTTTTAGTGTTTTGAATTCAATTTTGACGGCACCTTAATTTCAATATTATGCAACATGTTTTACATGGTATATGGTAAAGCTTTCTAATTTCCACATTAAAGGTTTGGTAATACATCTATTTTCCATTCATCTTCTCCAACCCCTTCTCGACGCCACAGAGTATCCATTATATTGACCAGATGATCTAGCCGCCTCCCTCACAAAAAATAAACGTCTTCAAAAACGGAAGGAAGTCGGGAGGAGGCAAGATCAGGTGGGACCATTCTAGCCAATGAGAGCTAGAAGTACAGGCACCATTTTTTTCCACTAGTTACCACAGCCACACAGTCAAAACGGTCTATATCGTAAAAATTTATGAAAATAAAAAAAGTGATTTTTTTGGTCCTAATTTAAGGTTAGGGTTAAGCACAAGGTTAGCAGTGTGATTTAGGATTAAAATCATATTTTAAGAAGATAAATTGTAGAAATGGGCGGTGTTTATTACTTTGTGGCTGTGGTAACTAGTGACGATGACAAGGCACAACTCCGATATAAAGTTATTTTTCTCAAAGTTGCCGGGATGTCACGTGTCCTACTTATCAGTACACTCGCAACAACCTAATCATTTACGAAACTTGTATTCGATCAAATAATCCATTACCATTTTTGTTAACCAAATTCGACACTTTCATTGACCTCCATACAAAAAACTCCTCGCTTGATCACCGGAAAAACGCCATCTGCTGGAGAAAACAGATTTTGGGCACAGCTATCTCTCTCCGCTTCGCCTCTTCCTCTGTCGACGCGCGTCTTGTTTCAAACTCGACAACCATTTCCATTTCCTCCATCTCCCTTTCGCACACGGTGATCCTCTCCCTCCTTCCCGGTTGATCTCTCGTTGTTACCGCGTCAAGAGATTATAAATCATTACCAGACAGCTGGTCTAGATTTTCAACTCCAGCCCCCGATGAAATATCGACCGATCTGTAGAATCAGAAAACCCGCAATTCTGACGAATGTAAAACGACTTATTCGAGTAGAAGTAGTAGACCTATATTTAATTCAAACGTTTCACCTTAAATGGCAAAATAATATAATATATGGCATTCGAAATGACTTTAAAGACTTCGTTTTCATTCGATTATAGAATATAGATTATATAACTCTATCATAATTTACTTGATTTATTCTGCGTTCGTAACCAAGTGGGAAGTGGGAATTTACCACCATACGAGTTAGATAGAGGACTCTAGATGGATTAAACCTATTTTGGCATAGACATTGCCATTAAGTGTGTCACCATTTTAAAGTAGGCAACTGAGTGGGACTTTCTATGGGTGAAGGAAGGATCGCATGATTCCATCCGAGTCATCAGGAGGGATCGGCCAATGAATTATACTCACGAGCAAACGTTCCATAATTGTAGGTGGCAGTAAAGCACCAACCTTGGTACCTGTTCAGACAACACCCTCCAGGTGGCAGTATGCACCCGTTCAGTTTGTTTGCCAACTAATAGAAGTAGTAGAAGAAGAAAATTGAGTACTTCAAAATGGAGATTACACAAGGGTGCAAGTTTGAAATTTGGTTGAGCATTAGCCATTTTTCTCTTGTTATGTCAGTCACCTGACATTCACTCAATTAGCCATGTCAGCTAACACATTTTTAGATTGGTAAGTTAGTCTAGCCAGCTATCTAAACTTGTAGTAATCATGGCCGAATTACCGACCGGTCACGCAGGACAGGTGCCCAGGGGCCCTGACCTCCAGGGGGCCCCCCACTGATTTTCTTAGTCAATCTCACTCAGATACCATTAACATGGCATAAGTCATGGCAAAATGTCTAGAATTGCAGAAAATTTGTTCGAAAATCGCAAACCTTTTCTCTCCGCCCCATGGCAAAATGTGTAAAACTGCAGAACCTGCTTTAAAAAACGGCAACATTTGTTATTTATTTTTTGGAACTCAGTCGGGGGGTCTCAATTTACTGTTGTGAGTTAGAATATTACAATGTTATTAAACATGGCATAAG